AATAGTGAGGTTCCAGTTTCCCTATTCTTAAACCAAAAATGAATGCTATATTACAATGACTTATTTCAATCTTAATGTTCAAGTCCTATCCATTAAGGCCTTCCTAGCAAAAACTCAGTATTATTAAAATTATTAACTTTATCAGGTTAGCATCTGGTAAATATTTTGCTATTGTATATTTGATGAATATGTTCTGTTTGGTGCTTATTTCAACAGTCTCTCAGCCGCAGTCTACCTTCACCTTTGAAGGGATTGCAGTATCCCCTAGCCTACTGATGGGATATTGTAACAAAATTGCCTTTGCATGCCATCTTTGCAGGTAACATCTTAATTGCATCCAACTTTCTCCAGGAGCACAGGTATGAGACTTTCTCCTGAGTAGATTTGTTTGACACATATTTTGTGGAAATATGAGTATATCTTTCTGTCTGAATTAAGATCAACAGGCATTCCTGTTAGTATCCTCAAAGGCTTCTTCATTATGGAGGCTTTAACAGTGTCCTTTCATGACTCATGGTGTCTCTGAATCAGCTATGATGGGCATAAATTGGCCATGGGCTTCCAATGCAAGAAACTATTCTTCTCAGACCCTCACCATTAGAGTGGCAATTTCTGACCACATATTGGAAGCTGTTGGACATTGAAGCTCTTTCAGACCCTAAGCCTGTGGCCCTGCATATCATCCTGACCGTTATGGCCTGGATCATGGAAGTAATACTACAAGTTCAGCATGGCTAGTGAGTAATCCTTTGTACAGGACATACCTGAACCTGAGCTGTCTAACATACTCTTCTTGCAGGAAAGAATGGCCTTGTCTGTCTTCAGTTCCTAGCTGGATGTCATGGTGCTGGATGCCCGGTCCTTGGCTACCTATAAATGCAGTGATATTAACTAAGTGAATAGCCGTGGGATCACACAGACTGAACATATGGCATTGCAACCATTATAAGGGGTGAAGCTCAGTAGCATGTTGCTGCCTTCCACAGTTAACCAAGAATTCCTTAATAATAGGCAGGACCATTGGCCAAACTTTAGAAAGTCATTTTAGTACTGAATGCTGTAGCCAACAAATGACCCCATCTGTACATTTTTACAAACTATTGGGCCATTTACTGAGTTGTTCCCTTCAGGATAAAGAGTTCTGAGATATTTTGACACACAGAAATCCAAACTATAAATCAAGGCCTCACGTATCTTCACATATACTAAGACAACAACATAAGGCCTCATCAGGATGATTTTTATTCCCTTAAAAGTTCCAGACAGGCCGGGTGCAGTGGCTCATGCCTGTAATCCCAGCACTTTGGGAGGCTGAGTCGGGGGTATCAAGAGGTGAAGAGATCGAAACCATCCTGACCAACATGGTGAAACCCCGTCTCTACTAATAATACAAATAAAATAGCTGGGCATGGTGGTACGCGCCTGTAGTCCCAGCTACTCGGGAGGCTGAGGCGGAAGAATCACTTGAACCCAGGAGGTGGAGGTTGCAGCGAGCCAAGATTACGCCACTGCACTCCAGCCTGGTAACAGAGCAACACTCCGTCACAAAAAAAAAAAGGTCCAGACATTACTAATACATACATGTCACAGCTCAGAATACCCAATAATAGCTCTTAGAAAAGGCATTCAATGGAACTTTCATCTCCACTATAGGTTCCAGACAGAGGGTTTAATTGGGAGGTGTAATGGGTTCCTCAAAGAACTACTGTTTAAATTATGAAATGACAAATAGACTTATAAATGGGTCCATATCATGTCCCAGACTTTCATCTATCTTAATTCAAGGCCTATTGGCCTACCTTACATCTTATACAACTTTTAAAATCCTACTTTTTACCCATTCTGATATATTATGGAGGATATGTTTCACCTCCTTATATATGAAGACTCTTTATTTATGAGTTACCTCAATAATGTCTGCTCTTTCCTTTATAAAATTTCAGTTGAAACTATGTCTCATAAGGTCTGGAAGCCATATGGATGGCACATACTATCCTGAGAACCATTAACTATAGTTTGTCTCACAGGCCAGACACCTGCCTATGTAGTATGGGACCCAATTGAACTTGAATTTTCACCACCCTAAATACTTTCCTTAATATTTGGGTTCTAATGGTGGTTAATTAATCTGGGTTCTCTTTCTCATCCCTCCATAAAATTAAAATTAATGCTCCAGGGCCAATCCCACAGACAGTGTAGACTACACAGAAGGAAGACAGAAAACTCAACTTAGTAAATTAAAATTATCTTCAGAGATAATAATGGAATTGACACCATATTTCATGATGATAAAACCAAACAACCCCTCCTCAGGGGGTTGCCAGAGGAATATGCCAGAGAAAAAGTGACATCAAACAGCAAAAACCAGTCAAGTCTAACTGCACACCATTCTGCAGGCTATTAGCCTTGCTACTCTAAGTTTGGGTATTTTCACTGGTTTGTGATAAACAGACTTAAACTTTCCAAGTAATTTTTTTTAGCCAAACATAGCAAATATTGAATTTGGCTAATAAAGCCCAGAGGCCTCACCAGCTTGTCCTTTACCAAACAAACCAACAACTGATGTGGAAGGAAGAAAAAGTAATGTCTTCAAAAAATGAAAATAAAAAAAGAAAAGCATAAACATTTATGTAATATGCTTTATGTTACGTGAAAGTCCTCAGAAGTGAAGGCTCAGAAAAATAGAGAAAACTCTGTACATATTATGCTAAGTATGAAGAAGCAGTAGATAATTGTGGTAAAACATAATTGGACAAAAAGGGATATGAAGTAATGATAATAAATTGGGAAGAAAATTAATCGAGTCCTGGTGTTCAGATTCTTCTCTGTGTCTTTGTGTCTTCAGAGTTAAGGAGGTTTTTGTTCCCTCTCTAGGTAGAAGGAAAACCCCTGTGGAATGAGAGTATTATAATCTACTTTAAGGGAAAGATGAGCTGGGTTTTATGGCCTGCTTCAGAATAGCTAGGGGGATTCTTTCTAGTTTCTAGGGCCTGCTTCTGCTGTTTCCTCAAATGCCAAGGTGCCATATTTTACAGTAGCATTTTCCAAACCCTTTCTGATGCAAAGGATCCATAGTAATTGGTGAAATTGGAGGGCCTGCCTATAGGCTAATGTTGCAGCTCTACTCATAGCCACAGATATTTTAATTGGCAAGCAACTTAACACCGTATTAACCACATGAACCAAAATCAGGCCATATGACTTAAAACATATTTGAATCAAAAACCTCTCCTCATCCAACTGGGAAAAACATGGAGTACTGGGGCCTTTAGATTCAGTCACCAATAATTGATACTTTAATTGTGCCAGTCAGGTTTTGGCTCTGTGGTTCTATTACTACCATGTCTCAGATGCTGACATTACTGTTGCTGTGTACCCAAAGGCCCCTTGACTTAAAAGACATTTTCAAGTCAAGCTTCCAGGCCAAAATTTTCCTTCAAATTTCATAAATGGTTCAGACTCATTATACCGTAGAACCGCAGAAATGTGATCCACAGGCCTGAATGGTTATCTACTTGAGAAAAATACTCAAGTTCCACAGCTTAGATAACATTTTCTCTGCCCAGAAGCTTGCTGCCAGAGAACACCCTATCCTGGACACTGAGAACACTGCCTCAGCAATGCACATGGTCTGTCTCTTCTAAGATGCAGACAAATTGGAGATCAGGCATTTATTGTTGCTTTTCTTTCTCTGAAACTTCAGATTCTATTATATTCTCTGCGCTCACTGTTTCCTTAGTCCGTAACCTCTGTACTCCTCCAAAACGTGCATTCCTACACACTCAAGCCTAAAGAGAAATCTTATAGCCATTACTATTATCTGTGTCATTCTAAAAGTTGATAAAGGTTAGCAGTTTCTCCAGGAGCTAGCTGCCTCATGTCAGTCCACTCCTCAGCCCCATTAAGAATCTCTCACTCCATAGCTCCTTCTCTTAAACCCCACTCCAGCTTTTCACCGTGACCCCCCCATGCTACATCTCAGACCATAAGCACCACAACTGTCCCTTTCACTTTGGTTACTCCCCACTTTGCACGTACCATACTGAATATTAGTTCATGCTCTTTACAACGTAACTACTGGTGCTGTCGCCTTGACTCAGGAATACACCAAGATATTATTGGCATAAAAATTAATTCCTACTTTTAACATACTTTATAATACCACAGAGATACTGTTAGACACCCCAGAAATTTTAGGTTTGTTTTATCAGGCAATACCCTGTTCATCAGAAACTTCCTTTAAGGGAAGCCTATAAGGATTTATTGTACTCTACTTGTTTTCTTCCTTTTTACTGTCATAACGAAATATTTTCTAGAACTTGGGACAATATATAGAGTACTCTCTGGCAAATTCTACTGTTTAGACCATTCGGATTCCCCAAATAATTGATGTCAAAACTGATTTCAAGACACAAAGGGGTCAATTATAACATAGTTTCGTTTTTGTTTTAAATGCTGTCTTCACCCAGTTTTCAGGCCTTAACTAGAGGCTGTCAGTTTCGTTTCTTGAGCTGCTGAGTCCACACTTACAACAATTCTTTTTTCAAATTCTCAGACTCTGTGACCATAGGAACCTATCTTAATTGCCCAAGGCACAGGTACCAGCTAGCTGGGATAGCACCTATACTCAGAGCCCATGAAATTAGTCAAATTAACTAATTTAATTTAGTTAATTTGCAGAGCAGAGAGCTCCTGACATCTAGCTAGTGACACCCCACTTCCCCCACCCAAGTTGCCCTCTAAACTTCAGCTTGCTGCTACCCTGGCCCTAGATACAACTCCCTGTCTGGCCCTGTGTTTCAGCTTCTCTTGTTTGGAGCTATAAATAACAAAGAACTCTGCCTTTAATCTGCCTGAATCATGTTGTGTTGTGTTCTGCCATCAAAAGAATATTTAAATCTTGTAAAACAATTGTATTAACCTCAAGTCTTCTAATATCTTAATACTATGCTATCCCCTTAGGCCATCTTTGTTTAAAGAGTGAAAATAAATTAAAGGTGAACACTTTAAAAATTAGTGCTTTTATTTCTTACATAGTTATTATTCTTGTTACAAAAATTATGCTTTCAGATTTCTTCAGTAAGAGCCAATTATATATATTTGTATGCTTACTGCGAAGAGTCTCAATAGTATACGGATTTACATAAGAATGAGGATGTGGCACCTGAAAAAGAAAATTATGTTTCAGAAATTTTTCTCTAATGACCATTTATATAGATTATATATTTTTCTATACTCTTTCTACTTTAGCCATTAAACTATACATTTAGCCGAGAAAAAATTATTTAACTGAAATTGGCACCCAATTAATAATATAACAAATTATGAAAGATTATAGGAGTTTATATATTAGATTTTAACTTATAGGTAGTAGTAAAGTTCATAAAAATTAATATTGATTTCATTTATAATTATCTGTTTAAAAATTACACGTAATAATGAACAAAAATACTATATATATTGTATATATGTAAATGAGAATGAAATAGAATAAGCAAGAGAAAATACATAAGATGAAAAATATGAAACTACAGAATTATGTCATCATTTAGAGTCTTAAACATTCAGGTAAATTAAACTTTTAAAAATGTTAAATTCAGCAGTTGCACCTATTTTTAGAAAGATGAGATAAAACAATTGAAACTCAGGACAAAATCAGAGTTTATAGAGATATATCATTAAAACACTGCAAAGCACTGAAAATTGTAGCTTTGTGGGGGCTCAGTGTTATGTGTAGTGGAGTTTTTTTTTTTTTTTTTTTTTTTTTTTTTTTTTTTTTTGAGACGGAGTTTCGCTCTTGTTACCCAGGCTGGAGTGCAATGGCGCGATCTCGGCTCACCACAACCTCCGCCTCCTGGGTTCAGGCAATTCTCCTGCCTCAGCCTCCTGCGTAGCTGGGATTACAGGCACGCACCACCATGCCCAGCTAATTTTTTTTGTATTTTTAGTAGAGACGGGATTTCACCATGTTGACCAGGATGGTCTCGATCTCTTGACCTCGTGATCCACCCGCCTCGGCCTCCCAAAGTGCTGGGATTACAGGCTTGAGCCACCGCTCCCGGCCCAAGTGGAGTTTTAATAGATGCCAGCGAGTCATTCTGGCAGAATGGCCATTCCATTGGAGTAGTGGCTAAATAGCCCTCCACTTGCAGTTACGTTAATATTTGTAAACTTCTGTCTTCAGAGTTAGACAGATCCCTCTTTGTTTAAATTTGACAATAATAAACCAAAATTGAAATACAAAGATGTGGATCTAAACATGTACTCTGTTGCTTACTGGAAACTTTAAAATAATGTATTTGACCAATACAGAATGTGTTTGTTTAAAAGCAACATTGGAGTGTTTAAAGAGAAAGTTTAATAGAAGAAAACAGAAATAAAGCATCAAACTATTGTGTTTATATCTTATCTTAAGGTTATAGACAAAAACAATTTTTCTAATGTCAATACAATTTATCTTATTACATCAGTATTTTATTAATCTTCTTGGAAAAATTCTTCTACTTCATTAGCTGCATAGGCCAGGTATTTCCTAATAATACATACCTTTGAATAAATGGATTTTATTTATATAGAAGTGATCCAATCTAGGAGTAAGCAAGCCACAAATAGGGGCCATATCTGACTTGCAACTCATTCTTTTAAATAAAGTTTTATTGAAACACAGCCACAGCCATTCATTTACAAGTTATCTGTGTCTGCTTTCACACTGCAACAACAGAGCTGAATAGCTGAGAACTTGCTGCACAGATCATTTGATCTGTAAAGCCTAAAATGTTTGCTCCCTGGTACTTCTTCAAAGTAAGTTGTTCATAAAGAGGATAGTTATTTGAAAATGGTCAAATTAATCTAAAAGTCATCTGTGCCATTGATGCATATTACCTTGCCTGAAATATATTATTAAACAAGATTATTGTGGTTGAATGCTTTCAGTTGACATTTTTATCTCCCAAATTATCATTCCAAAAGCATTGTAAAAATAAATTTATATATTTTTAGTTCACTTGACTTAAACTAAGGAAAGTGGAGAGGAGGGTCTGAAGCACTCAGTATTAATAGCTTGTAAATAAAATTGATGCCAAATATAGAATAGTCAGAACAGAGAGTTTCCACTTCAGGAATTTCTTTCAGATTATATCTGAGACCAGGAATTCAAACCACTCCTAGAAACTGAAAAAAGATGCTAATATTCAGCTGGATAGACTTCTTTCTTGTTAATACAGTGCAAAATAATGCATTCTATAAATAAGAACACCTTGAATACTTTTTCCATATAGATATGTATTAGGAAATAATGAAGTTTAAAATCTTAGCCAATTCTACTTTAAAAAATACTTCTAGGAAATAAAATAACAGGAAATAACTAAATTTAAGAGCACATACTTGAAAAAACCACTATGTGATATACAATTATTTATATTTCTCTAAAATTTAAAGTTGCTTTAGAAAATATTCCATCTTATTCCAGAGATTTTTACATTGAAGTGCCTCTCATAATTGCAAAAACTGTACAATAACTTGAATTTGTAAGAGACATATTAAATAGTATTTCAGACCTCTGTGATTCAATGGCTGAACACTGTTAAGTGTTTTACTAGATCCTTGTAATTATAATGGTTATTTTTAACGTGGCAGAATTTTACTGAATCAAGAATTCTTTTTAACTGAATATTTATTACAAAAAACAATATTTTACTAAGTTTATTAGGCTATACATAAAATGGTCTCCCAAGTCAAGTCCAATTAGGTGCTCTCTGGTAAAATGCTTCTGCAAGACACTATATCATGCTTTAAGAGATCTGCAATTGTGTAAGCATCTTCAAGGCTCAGATAAATTTAGCCTCCTCAGCTCCACCCTTTTTAAAAAATTTAGCTAATTGTCCGTGAAAAGTTTGAAACATTCTGGTCTAGCAGCATAGCCTTGTAGATACAAATAAATTTCAGTTATATTACTGAAATGATTATTGCTGTTGAAATGATGAAAGCTGTAATAACTCTGCTTATGAATACTAGATTTTTCTAGTGAATTTTTTTTCATTTCTTTTTCTACAGATTACTATACAGTTTTCCTTTTTCTGAAGTCTCCAAATTTATTTTCCTTCCTCCATCCTATTTTAGCTTCTAATCTCATCTTTCAATTCATTAAGACAACAAAAGGATGGAAATATCATCTTCTCACCATCAAATCTATAAGACAACTTTCTCCAGCACTGAAATATTTATCTTCCCTCTTGTTTCACTTTATATTGGTTCATATAGCTCATTCATTCATTTAAATCTCTCCAGAATGCTCTAACTTGTAGCAACACAATTTACTGACCTATTTTCCTACAAATATACATTTCATTTTTATTGTAATTACCTGTGTACATCTGGTGAGGCTGACAAGAGTCTCTCTAAGGTACATTCTTACATGTGAGATTTCAGTATTATAAAATTGGGGCAACTTCAATTATACTTGATATTGACAAAGTGATCCAAAAGTGATTGCATATTACTATGTTTCTACTAGCAGGGAATGTAGTCCTTGTGAGACTTTCAATTATGGTATTTTAATTTTTAACAAATTTCAAAATATAAAATGGAATTTTATGATTTTTGTAATTTGCATTTTCTTATTTACCAGTAAGATTAAATGGTGTTATAGCTATATAGCTATAACTGTTTTTTCCAGCATATTACAAATTGCAAAACTTTTTATCAACAAACTCACTATCAAACCAAAAATATGTTTCCCAATCTAAGACCTAGACTATGCCCTGCACCCCTATCTCAATTGCTTACTTGATAAGATCAGGATCATGCCCTATGGCTGCTGTTTAAGCATATCATGCACCATCACACTCATCCTCCCAGCCCCTTCTTTGATAGTGTAATCCTTCATGGGCCCCAGCATTGCTCTTCCAGTCTCCTGGACTACTTCCTACCTTTTCCTCTCTCTTCAAATTGTCAACAACTTTCTCCAACCCTGGGTTTCACTAATGTTCTTGCTTATTGTATCCCTGATGGGAAGGAAGAAAATCTACAAACCCACTTGTGTCTATATTTGTACATCAGATCTTCCTTTCTGAACTTATGGATGAAATGTCACTTCTTGTAGTGAAGACTAATTCCTCCACAGCTTTGCCAGATCCAAATCATTAAACTCCTCAAGGCTTGTTCCCTAAATTATCCATCTTGTTTCCCCTACATAATCAATTTTCATACTCTGCTATATCATTTCCATCATGATATGACCGTGTTTTAAAAGCTTTCTCTCATTCTCTTGTTGCCACCCTATTATTCTGCTTCTCTTTTTAGAAACACTGTTTGAAGCATATATTACCTATTTCCTTAATTATTTCTTTATTTCATTAACAGCATTAAAATTTGTCCTGTTGAAGTTATTAATAATTACCATCTTGCCAAGTTCTTAATTGTCTTCGTACTTGATTTCTTAGCAACTGTTAACTCAATTGCATCTGTCTTGAAATTCTGTCTTTATTTTGCTCTTATATTCTTACATCGCTTTCTCTTTGTGGCTGACATCTGCTTTTTTCCATAGCTCTAAATTATCAAGTGCCTGAAGGATATCATTGGCCCTTTCTTCTCTAACTTCTTCTCTCCCTACAGAATCTCATTTGGTCTGATCTCCTTGGTTACCATCTATCCATTTTTTACTTCCAAATGTTTGTCTCCAGACTTGATTTTTTTCTTGAACAGAAACCTCTGTATCCAATTGTCTAAATTATGCTTTCATCTGACCCTATGATAGGCATGTCAAACTATGTCCAAAACATAACCGCTCTTCCCCCACATATCATCTCAATCTGTGTTTCCCTCCTATCTCACTGAGTAAAATCATTATTTGCACAATATGTTAGGGCCAGCAGTCTAGAAGTCATTCCCAATTCTTTTTTCTCCTTATATTTTATTCCCAACTCATAATTGTTTAAACTCTTAATTTTGCAAAGTCTAAAGGTAGGTACTTTTCTCTGTCTTCAAAATCAAGAACAGTGATTGGCATGCCACAGGTGCTATCAAAAGCTGTTGAATTATTAATAAATGCAGCAGCAAAATTTATTTTTATTTAAAATATGTAAATCTTTTCTTAAACCATAGATGAGAAGCTTTCAGAAAAAATGCAATTCAGCATTGCTTTCATATGGTTATGAAAAAATGCTT